GTTTACTGTCATCCACAGCTTGGCTTTGAGATCAGATGAGGAGCTGATGAAATGTGTGAAGATGATTTGAAGGTGGATTTTAACTTCACCAAACTTCATCAAAAAATTTGAAGTTGCAGTTTATAGCATGGTGCGCTCATAGTCCGGAAAATACGGTAATTGGTCTTAAAAGATTTTTTGAAAGCGAATTATCTGCAAATAATGCCATCTTTGAGTGTCTTTGCTGTAGTAGTGACTAGCGGCGTAATCATGTAATTTTATTATCACTAGATGGCAGTAGGTACAGAGCATTTTACATTAAAACAAGAGAATTAGTGTGTTACTACATTCATGCATCACACACCACAGTGTTGTGGCACTGTTCAGGTGTATTTTTGAAGTGGATATGCTAAGTGCAATTTGAAATAAGAAATGTAAAATATGATGAAAATAATTTTTATAATTTTTTATGTTTATTTGATTCCTATTCAAGACACTTTGATAAGAATGACTATATATGTAACATAGGCGGCTACAGAGTATCTTTGTTTACAGTTTTGGTTGGTGGTGTGCCTCGTGATTTTTTCAATTAAAACAATGTACCTTGGCTCAAAAAAGGTTGGAAAACACTGATTTACTGGACCCTGGTCATGCCCCTTTACCTGGGCAATGGGCATGTTTTTCCTGTCCAGGTCATGAACTTCTCTGATGAGGATGCAATCCAGACTATATTTGAACTTTTGACTGAAGTTGACTCTGTAAACAGTGACCAGCTGTGTAAAGTTCAGTTTCAGAGAATTTCAGCAGACATTGATGATGAAGGCAGCATTAGCAGACAGCCTGAACCACCAACAGATGTCCAGTCCATCCTTGATAAGCTAAAGGTTAAAAGCACAACTAGCTTTGCTGTTGGAGAAATACTCATTTGGATTTGCAGCAGAAGATGAAGACCTCGGTTACACAGACAAAGTACAACATGAAGTACACCTCGCAGATGACACGCCTGTGACACAGCCTTACTGATGGATTCATTGTGATCCAAGCAAGAGAACACATTGGCAAGTTGTTAAGGAAAGGAGTTATCAAAGAGAGCTCCAGTCCATATGCTTCCCCAATTGTGTTGGTCAGAAAAGCCGATGGTAGTCTGAGGTTAAGTGTTGGCTACAGAAAGCTCAACTCCAAAACCAGACACGATGCTTTTCTGCTCCCAAGAATAGATGAAAGTTTTGATGCACTGAGAGGAGCTAAATTCTTCCACACAATAGATTTAGTAAGTGGGTATCACCAGGTGGCTATGAACAAATGCGATAAAAAAAATATGCATATTTGTGCCAATAATCTGTTAGTCAGCGGATCAGTTCCACCTCATCTTTACCTTGGGCTCTGTGTCTGAACAACATGAATGCAGAGGAACTGAGAATCGGTTCAGTCATTATTAGAACGAGGGCAACCAGACTAACTTATTTTTGCTAAATTGTTATATTTAGCTAAATACTATTGTTGAGGGGCACAAGCAGGGCTCCTGATGTACAGATACAAAATATGTAAGAAAAAAAAAATCAAAATGGGGCATCAAGGATAAACAGAGCAGGGGCTCTGGCCCCCTCAGGCAACCCTTCTACACGTGCCTGCCCACGAGTAATGAGATCAATGACCGGATGGCTGTTATGCAATGCAGATCGAGGTCCTTCTTCTCAACCTCCCAGTAAAGTATAAAATCAGGCTGTGCCTCCGTTTCCTGTTGAATCTGCTTGACCAGAGACGATATCACACTTTCAGTTCACTCTCAATGGGAGAAGCACCATGGATTTGATAATTACCGTCATTCTTTTCTGTTCAGGTAAGAAAAATTAGTGTTTTTTGATTTCACTCAGATGCCTTGCACCCAGTGATGTCAGTCTAATTGGTCTAAGGGGCGGCGAGGCAAATTAAGTTCATCAGCACCATAAAGAGCCACACAGCAATTTCAACATTAGTTTTATGCCACATGGCTTGGTGAAACTGTTTTTCTTAGTCTCTAAGGCTTTAGTACATTTTTATAAGTGTCTTTAGGTTTGGTTTGTACTCTGATGTAGCTACTCAAAGCAACTCTTTCACGTGTGTGTCAGTAAGAACAGGACAATGATTAGACGTCTAAAAAGTAATTCAGACATACAGAAAACTTTTGAGCTCCGTCTGGAAAACTACCAGAAATGAAAGTGTCTCACGCAGGATTTTTTTGAAACATGTTGGATAATTTACCAGTGTGGATCAAATTTGTGGAGATATTTGCATATTTTACACTTTAAGCATTATTTTGATGCAACACCCAAAGTCATCCTCACAGAATACATGAAAGCCTTTAAATTGTTTATGTATAAAAGTGAATAAATATAATGTGTTGTATGTCTTAAAGGTCAAAGGTAAAGGTAACTTTATTTACATCGCTCATTTTCTGCAGCAAGGCAAAATGTTGACGCAAAAATATCTTTGGTCACAAAATCTATTTTAGTTTTTAGTATTAAAAAACAGCCAATCACATGATGCAAAACCTCAGGATTAGAAATATCACAAATTTGATTGTGATATTGAAATTCTTACTTTCTGTTTCTGTTTTTTGTGACATTTGTTGGTTTGGTCTTTAGTGCTCCCTAGCGGTTAAACATAGAAACTGCAGAGGATGTAATTTCACCAAAAACAGTACAGTCATTAAAAAGAGAAACTGTATAAACAAATAAAACACACCATGGCTTTGAATTAAAGGAATTCAGTGAATTTTTCCTCTTTTTCCCTCAGTGCTAAAAGCTGCAGTCGGCTTTAATGTTGATTCAGGTTCTTGGAAAACCCTGAGTCACTCTGATGAAAGTTTTGGCTACCAGGTGGTGCAAAGACAATCAGAGTGAGTCATCTTGAGTTTTTAAACACTTTGTGTTGTAAAATGTTTATAAAATGGTTTCTCACGAATGTTTTCTGTTTCTCTCAGTCTGCTTGTCAGCGCCCCACGACTGCAGTATGAAAATAATAAAACGGGACGGATATTTCAGTGCTCAACAGACGGCTATTGCAGCAATCTGCCTGCTTTAGGTAGCAATCATTTTTCTCCTGATGTCACACACACATAAACAGAAAAACATTTAAACTTACAAATTTTATAAGTTGATTTCATGACCAGACATATTCACCAGGAGTTTCAATAACTATTGTGGCTATCCCAAACATCCAGTCCTGAAAAAAGTATTTTACTTATTTTTTTGGCATCTAATGTAAGTGAATATAAAATGAAGTGAACTCTGATTAACCGTATTTATTTTAGACACTCGGCCTGTTCACTCCTTGACTGTTAGAATAAAGTGGAACCGACATCATGAATTAGGTTAAAAGGTGTTGTATTGTGAACTGAACTAAACAAGTGAGAAACGACGTGTTTAACTGTCATCAGGTCGGGAAGAATAACAAAAGGTTTTAGCATCCAGCTGAACCACAATGAGAGAAAATAGTTAGGCTACATTCACACTGCAGCCTGAAGAGACCAAAATCAGATTATTTTTTTTGCCTTAAGGCGACTTATGTCGGATCTTTTAATCACAGATCTTTTAACAACACAGATCATATTTTTTAAAATGTGACCCAGGAAATGTGGTTAATATTCCGATCTGTTGAAATGTGATCTGAGTCTCTGCAGCCAGATCACATTTTGCTGACCATGCGCTTTATGTGTGGCGTTATTGCGTCCTCTGCTGCGCATGTGGGACAATTTCAGGTCATTATGTGACTGGAAATCACATGAAAGTTGCATTTATTTGGACTTAGCCTTAGAAACATATGTTCACTGTAATTTATGGAAACAATTTTTAACGAGTGATAACTTTGTCAAGTCATCATCACAAGTGATTGTTTTTGCAGAGCAAAGAGCTGCTGTCAACATGTCTCTTGGTTTGGCGATGGCATATGATCCTTCAACACAAAACACAATGGTGAGAGGATGAGCTGCAGAAAATAATGAATAAATGCAACATGAAAATGTAAAACTCAGGACACAGTAAAGGAATAGACGTACTTATCGCACATTTTCCAGGTCTGTGGTCCAACCATTCCCAGAGACTGCGCATCTATCGCCATGTACAACGGTTTGTGCTTTGAGATCGATTCAAATAATACATTTGTGAAGTCTTACCCGCCTGCAACTGAAGGTACAGTAACTGCCTCTGTAAACTGGAGGTTAACTTTCTCTGTAACACAGTTGAATAACAGTCTGGATCTCTGATTTCTTTTCAGAGTGTACAAGCCGAGCTGACATTGCATTTCTGCTGGATGGCTCAGGCAGTGTATCCAGTCAAGATTTCAGCAGAATGAAAGAATTTGTGAAAAATCTGATCAGAACATTCCTGGACAGAGATACACAGGTGAGACTATCATTGATAATTTGGTTCATTATTTCAGTAAATGTGCAGAAAAAATGACTGTTGCTAAAAATAAATCCCAGTACAGCAAGATCATAAACTTACCAAAAAGCTTCATGTTGTTTTTTTTTTCCAAACATATATCCCCTTTAATTTCCTTGCTGCCTTTAATTTATTGTAGTTTATTTTTATTGAAATGCGTTTTTACTTCATATTCTTTTATTTTATTTTATTTTTTACAGTTTGCCATCACCCAGTTTTCTTATTCTCCAACAACACATTACTACTTTAACACTTTTAGATCTTTCAACTGGGAATCTCAAATTAACCATATCCGTCAATTTAGTGGAGGAACATATACAGCTGGAGCCATACAAAATGTTGTGTAAGTATTTCTGACATGTTAGCATATACTACATTTTTTCAATATTATTACAGAGAAAACTGATTACTAGAAGTCATGTTAAGTTTTTTTTTTTTTGCTTTTTCATGTCAAAGAACCCAAAAATTTTATTTGTAGGTTTCAGTGGTAGACACATCATTGGTTAAATTAAGTCTACATAATTTATAATGGAAACAATCCAGCCCTCCTCTCTGTCCACAGGACTGCAAGAACAGAAATAATAATTATGACTTTCTTTTTTTTTTACAGAGATGACGTCTTCTCACCACAAAGGGGTTCCAGGTCAAATGTGAAAAGGATTCTGATCGTCATTACAGATGGGGAGTCTCATGATCGCCAAAACTTACCAGCAGCAACACAATCAGCTGATCAAAAAAACATTCTTCGATTTGCTATTGGGGTAAGCTGCAATTATTAATTACAATCACATGTAAATATTCAGTTATGTGTCTTTTGTGTGTTAGAATACAACACATTGCATTTTAATGCTGCAAAAATCATTGTTATTAAAATTATTTTGATCATTATAACTACGGTTATGAAAAGAACTACTGGAGCATAATTCCTAACATTGTATTTACACCTTTAGGTGGGGAACGCATTCACAAGTACAAGTGCAAAACAAGAGCTCAGAATAATTGCATCTCAACCTGATGACGGTTTTGTGTTTCAAGTGGGAAGCTTTGATGCTCTTGACAAAATACGGGACAACTTGCAGGCCAAAATCTATTCCATTAAAGGTACAAATTTATAATTTTACAAGATCTGAAACAATTTTAAAATTTTCAACATCATTAAATATTTTAACTCCACATTTTTTTCATAGCTAACAAAGGCATAAATCAAATATAAATCACAATGATAGCAAATTTCTAAGTAATACATATTTAACCCTGCCACTGTCTTAGTGCAACATTCAGGAGGAGCACAGCAAATATCACAGTCAGACAGCGGGGAAACACGGAGATTGACCCCTGGTTCAAATGACACAGTGTCATTTGAGGGAGAAATGACTCGCGGTCTTTAGCTAAAGGCAAAAGAGAAATCCTACAACTGCTAAAATCTGGTAAAATCACACCATTTTGTTTCTGAAGAAGGAAGTTGAACTCAGTGTCTTCCTCAGAGATTATCTTCTTCAATAGGTCTTGGTGCAGCGCCCCCACAGGTGAGGAGGGGGAAAGGTTCTTCAACAAGTTTGGATTGTTTGACACAGTTCAGCTGAAAATGAAACAAATGTTGCAACTTTGTTCACCAATCAAACCAAGTCTACCGGATTATTAGGTGAAAATATCCAAAATGATCCCGACTCTTAAGAACGTGGGAGGGTTAAATAATTTTAGATTTTGTTTTTGGCAAAGTCTTTAAGTCCATGGTGTACTTAAAGACACCATGGACTTAATGGTCCATGGTGTCCATTAAGTCCATGGACACCATGGACTTAATGGACACCATTAAGTGTCCATTAAGTCCATGCTGTTTTCTTACAGCATGTAAGAAAACTAAAATATAATTTGCTTTGAATTTGCAGGACCTCAAGGTGATGGAGAGATACTGAAACAGGAAATGTCTCAAGAAGGCTTCAGAGCAGCTTATGTGTCTGGGGTAAATAATGTCAAGGTAAGTTCTTCAGAATTTATATTAAAAAAATTCCCTTCTCACCCTCCGCGGGTGGTCTGGTCTCTCTTTCATCCTCTGAGCTCGGGTCCTCT